TGGTTTCTTATATTATCTAAGACAAGGGTGTCAAACTCAAGGTCCGGGGGTTGGATCCAGCCTGTGGGTGCTTAAATCTGGCCTGTGGGGCTGCCCTAGAAACAGCAAAGGATCGGCCCACAATGGCTCTGCCAGTGAAAACTGAGCTCAGGAGGGCCTCCGTTTTTGCAGCCGACAACAGAGCTCGGGAGCCCTTTTCGCTGGCAGAGTTTTCAGGCCACCACAGGCACCCGAGACAAGTGACGTTGAGCTAGCCATGCCCACCCTGGCCCCCTAAGGTCAAACACAACCCTTATGCGGCCCTCAATGAAATTGAGTTTGACACCCCTGATTTAAGACAACAATTTAAAATAACATCTTACTAACTGGATGAGAAACAATGGAAAAAGTAACTATCCTCACTGGTACTGTATACGAATAGATTTATCTTTAATTTTGTAAAATTATAAGCAAGCTTAACAGGGAGTAATTGCATTACTGAATAATGTGACTTGGCTGGGCTCTCATAATACACTCATAATTTTTCAGAAGCAAAGAATTATGAATATTTCTTCATTTCATGGAAAATAAATATTTATGTCAATTGGTGAATTCAAATTCACAGCTACAAAACATAATCAGATTCATAACATAAAGCAATCAATTTGGGCATATAATCACGGCGGGACAGAAGTGTGTGTGTATGAGTGTGTGTGTGTGTGTGTGTGTGTGTGTGCTATAAAAGAGAAAAAATGTTTGAAAAAAGAAAAAGGGGGAGAAAGTAATCTCAAAAGAAAAAGTGCCAAGTGCAAGAAAGAAAGAGGGAGTAAAAGAAAGAAAAATAGAATTATTTCCTATTTCTATTTCCTGCTGAATTTATGCAGCATATTAGAAATAGGTTATTAAGTACATTATAATTGTTAAAAGTTAATTTCATATTTACAATATTCTAACATGCTACAGTCATTGTGAACTTATATTTATGTTCCATTTGAAGCGATCTATCATAATCAGCGGAAGTTTTTTAGGAAGCAGAATTTTTGAAAACAATTCAAAAGTGTTATTAATCTGAAAATCAGCAGTCATATCTTCCCATTATTTAAAATCAAAGATTCAATCCTTTTTATGGTGTCCTGCAAAAATAAATCATCAGCAAAAACTCTCAACAAACATCTCATTTTTTTTTTTAAAAGGCTTATTACCTTCTCATCTTGTTTAATGTCTCTATTCAAAATTTCAAGAACCAAACTAAACAATAAAGGGGACAGAGAACCACTTGTCTTTTCTGCATATAACATGGTTCAGTCAAATCACCATTAACTATAATTTGAGCCTTTTGGGATATATATATATCGGCCAAAGAGGTTGTAGGGGGAAAAATGCCTTTAAAAGCCTCTGGCAATCCCAGCTGAGTTGTCCGATCGTCAGAGGCTTTTAAAAGCATTTTTTTCTGCAACCTCTTAAGGGTGTAGAAAAAATCCTTTTAAAAGTAAAAAAAAAAAAAGTTGGCCACACCCACCCAGTCACATTAACCCCCCACCAAGCCACGCCCACAGAACCGGTAGTAACAAATTTTACATTTCACCACTGATATATATATATATATATATATATATTGATTCCCTTGAAAAGAAGGGAAGTCCGTATCTTTCAGGACTTTTAAATAACGACCAGTTCAAACTGTCAAAAGCTTTCTTGGCATCTAACAAGATTAATCATTTTGCATGTAGATATTATATTACATCCAGTACAGGCCTCACATTATCTTTTAGCTGTCTTTTAGTTAAAAATCCACATTGATCTTCATGAATAACCTCTTATAAAATGTTTCTTTAGACTGGCAAAATTGATGAAAACAAAATTAAAACCATTTTTTTTTTTACAATTTTCTTTTTTACCACATTTATACGTCAATATTCATTTCTTATATGTCCATTTTTTCCCCTTACTTCAATTTACCTTTATCTATACATATAGTTCTAATATTTATTTATACATATTGGTATATCAATACTAAGTTACAATCATATTATATGTCATTTCTATTTCTACAAGTTTGTTATTACGTTCTAACTCATGTACCTTTCTCATTTAATCTGTCCTTACCCTTTGCACCTCTCCTCTAACCATTCATTCCATACCATATAGTACTCTGTTTCTTCCTTATCTTGTATATCTTTTGTGAGTCTATCCATCTCTGCGCACTCTAAAACTTTATCACGTTTTCCTCTGATAGTATATTGTTGTTCTTCCAATTTTGTGCATATATTATTCTCGCTGCTGTCTTCACATTTTTTTTTAACAACTATGTACTCCATCTAGTCCTGGAGCCTTTCCTGTATAAATTTTTTTATATTTTCTGATTTCTCCATAGTAGATACAGGACTGTTCATAATTTGGGATTGTGAACGTTTTTGCAAATTTTGTTTTGTAAAGTATTCTTCATTTTTTTCTGAGAAAATATCTTATGTTTATACAAACTGAAATAATAAAGTTTTCTGTATACTCACTTTGTCTGCTAATAACTTATCTCCTTTTTTAAATTTTCAGTATTATTTTCTTTTCTTTTTCCCTTGTCAGTTTACATGCCAATCATTTTCCACGTTTATTTGCAAATTCAAAATTCTTCTGCTTTACATATTTCAATGTTGTCACTATTTCTCTTATAGTTAGCATAGATTGTTATTGTTGAAATTTAATCTGATATATATCATACAGATAATCCTTGATTTACAACAGTTCATTTAATGACCGTTCAAAGTTACATCACTGAAAAAAGTGACATGACTATTTTTCACACTTATAACCACTGCAGCATCCCAATAGTCGTGAGATCAACATTCAGATAAAGTCTATACTTATCTACAAAGATGAATACATTCAAAAAGTGATTCAGAAACACAGAAGGGTGGTTCTAGTGTGCATAAAATTGGCTATGCAAAAACTGTAAATTCATGAAAATCTGTTTCCTCCTCCCCATTGTTGAACTAATATGCCAATTGGGGAAACCACCATTTCAGCAATTTAGTTGTGAGGAGGAACCATCTGGGGGTCAAATAGGTTGATTTCTAGTTTCTTCTTTTAACCCAGAGGAAAAAATATGGTCTCCCTGTTGTTCAAGGGACAAAATAAGCTGTGATGTTATTTCTAAGTACGTTGGAGCTGTCTAAACCACCATTTTCCTCACCAGAAATCTCCAGAAGTATTATTTCTTTAATATAGTTGCACCTGTAGGTTATGAAAGAATGCACAACTATAAATACATGACTAGGCTTTTAGAAACTATATACTTAAAAATAGAGTCCTACAGAGTTATTATTAACACTGGCATTTGATTTTAAGGGTTTCTTTTGAAGAGATGCTATGTGTAATTTATTAACTTTCAATTAAAAGAGAAAACAAACACATTCACATTTGAAATTATTTATCACTTCCTAGTTAAGCATTTTAGAAAATGTATATGACCACACATCTTTCATACATAATTCTGGTTGGCTAACAACCATTCACAAGAAAAAGAATCTCTAGAAAAAAAGAGAAAGCACCATTAAAACAATTATAATTACTCCAGTGCTATATAACAAAATCACAGCACAAACCACATTTGGCAACCCCATGGAGAAGGGGCGTTGGTCCTACCTGAGACGCACCTTCTCGTTGGGTGGAGACAGCAGCCAGGATGGGTTTGGTCATCTGTTAGGCCGATAGACTGAGCCCATCAAATTTGCTAAGTCCCGCCCTTGTTACCGGGTAAACCCAGCTTTTGGCGAGGACAAGAAGACAGGCTCGGCGTGTGGGACACCAATAACAGAGTAAAGAAGAGAGGCAGATGAGAAACCAAAAAGACCAGACTGGCGAAAGAGAGGGAGGGTCTGGCTGCTGTCTCCACCCAACGAGAAGGTGCGTCTCAGGTAGGACCAACGCCCCTTCTCCATTGTGGGTGGAGACAGCAGCCAGGATGGGACATACCAAAGATCCACGTCCCTACAGTCGGGTGGGACCAGTCTGGTCCGAAGTACCCTCCCCGGAGACTACCCGCTGTAACACTCTACGACCAAAGGCGGCATCTGCCGAAGCAAATTTGTCCAACTTATAGTGTTGAATGAATGGAGAAGGCGATGTCCATGTAGCCGCTCTGCATATTTCGAGCAATGAGGCCTGAGTAGCCCAGGCTGCCGATGTTGCAGCGCTGCGGGTAGAATGCGCAGTCAGTCGAGGAGGTCTCGGGAGAGACTGTAATTCATAAGCCTTGGCTATCGTCTGACGGATCCAACGACCAACAGTCGATGAAGACACCTTGGAGCCCAAGGATACCGGTAGGAAAGAGACAAAGAGGGATTCCGTTTTACGGAGACGTGCCGTCCGTTTAATATAGATCCGCAGGGCCCGTCGGACATCCAAGGAATGCCACCGTCGTTCGAGCCTGTGAGTCGGGTGAGGACAAAAGTTGGGCAGTATAAGTTCCTGCATTCGATGAAAGGTGGTATTAACCTTGGGTACAAAGGTTGGGTCCAGGCGGAGAACCACACGGTCAGCATGGAACACACAGAGGTCCTCCCGAATTGAAAGGGCGGCCAATTCGGAAATGCGCCGGGCCGAGGTGATTGCAACCAAAAAGGCGACTTTGCCTGTCAAGAGGCGGAGGCTAGTTGTGCGCAAAGGTTCGTATGGGGCTGACGTAAGGGAATTTAGAACAATGGAAAGGTCCCAAGTAGGATACCTGTGCAACACGGGAGGGCAAAGGTTCGTAGCCCCTCGTAGGAATCGGCGAATTAAAGGGTGTTGTGACAAAGAGGATAAGGATCCAAAGGTAAGGACTGATGAAATCGCCGCGACCTGTCTCCGCAATGTGTTGGGTGACAGTCCTTTGCGGAGGCCTTCCCGTAAGAAAACGAGAATATTAACGATCGAGGCCTGGAGGGGAGGAACTCCAGCCCGATCACACCAGGCACAGAAGGACTTCCAAGTAGCCGAATAAATCCGGTCGGTCGACGGCCTTCTTGACGCCTGAATAATGGAAATCACGTCTGCAGGGATGCTGACCTCCCCAAGCACGTGCCGCTCAATCGCCAGGTGGTCAGACGGAGCCACTGTAGATCTGGATGCCTCAAGGTCCCTTGGGTTAAAGCGTCCTGAGGCTGAGGTAACTGCCAAGGTTGAGTTATCGACAACGACACTAGGTCCGCAAACCAAGGTCTGCGTGGCCAATGTGGAGCCACCAGAATGATCTCCGCCTGTTCCATCAACAACTTGCGAATCACACGAGGGAGAAGAGAAACCGGAGGAAAGGCATATAGGAGCCCCGGGGGCCACGGGGAGCGAAGAGCATCGACTGCCTCTGCCTGAGCCGACGGGAACCGTGAGATAAACCGCGGTAGCTGAGCATTGTCCAACGTGGCAAAGAGGTCGAGCACCGGCATCCCGAAACGCGTCGTGATTTGGTGGAAGAGACGAGGGTTGAGACGCCACTCCGCATGATCTAGACGCTGACGGCTGAGCCAGTCGGCTTGCAGATTGGTGACACCGGAGATGTGTTCCGCCCGTAACGACGCCAGATGGATCTCCGACCAGAGTCCCAACCGCAACACCTCCGACATTAGAGAAAGAGAACGGGTGCCCCCCTGATGGTTGACATGGGCCTTCGCTGTGATATTGTCCGTGAGGACCAGGACGTGGGAGTTGGACACGAGATGATGAAAAGTCCGAAGTGCTAGGTAGATCGCTCGGAGTTCCAACCAGTTGATGGAGCGACGGGACTCGACAGAGGTCCAGACGCCCTGAGCCAGGTGACCCCGACAATGTGCACCCCAGCCCTGGAGACTGGCGTCCGTTGTCACCACCACTCTCTGTGGATCAAAGAAAAAACAACCTCGGGAAAGTGCTGGAGACCGCCACCACCTTAAGGACCTAATTACCTTTCTAGGGACAGAAACCTTCACAGAAGAGGTACCCCTACCCGTTTTCTGGAGAGGTAACAGGAACCACTGAAATTCCCTCGAGTGTAGCTGGGCCCAAGGAACTATAGAAATGGCGGAAATCATCTTGCCCAGGAGCTGGGACAGGATCAGGGGAGAAGTAGATGAAGCCCGTTCAACCTTGGAGACAAGGGATCTCAAACTCTCCTGTCTCTCGCTCGAAAGAAAAACTCTCCCTGCCACGGAATCTATCAGGGCCCCTAAATGAATCAAATTAGTAGAAGGAATCAACTGGCTCTTTTCCAAGTTAACCGAAAACCCGTGAGAAGCAAGTGCATGGAGAGTGAAGTGCAGGTCAGAGGAAGCTTGTTGCGGAGTAGGAGACAAAATTAGGATATCGTCTAAATAACATTGTAGACGAATAGACTTAGCCCTAAGAGAAGCTGCCAGAGCAGCCAGTACCTTGGTGAAGGTACGAGGAGCAGAGGAAAGGCCAAAGGGCATGGCCCTATACTGAAAATGGCGCCCCCCATAGCAGAACCTAAAGAACTTCCTATGGGAAGGGAGGATGGGGATGTGGAGATAGGCCTCAGTGAGGTCTATAGAAGAGAGGAGATCGCCCCTCCTGACACCGTCCAGGATTGATTTTAGTGAGTGCATCTTAAACTTCCGGTATCGGACATACCGGTTGAGTCGCTTAAGGTCCAGAATGGGTCTCCACCCCCCCCGAGGACTTGGGAACAAGGAAGACACGGGAATAAAATCCCGTGCCCCTCTCAATCAAGGGCACTGGTTGAATAGCCCTGATTGAAAGGAGGTGCTGAACCGCCGAATCCATAAGAGATCGTTTCTGGATATCATTAGAAAGCGGACAGCACACAAAAGACCTCGGAGGAGGGGAGAGAAACTCAATGGCCAACCCCGACCTTAAAGTGGCCAGGACCCATTTATCTGACGTGGAACCCTCCCAAGCGGAGACGAAAAGGGCCAATCTGCCCCCTATGGGAGGGTCCAGGATGCACTTAGCGACGGCGACCGGAGAAACGACCTCCTCCCCCTCGAAAGGGCCGTTTGGGCGCAAAGGTCCTACCTCTAGAAGATCTGTCCTGACCGCCCCGTTGTCTGGGCTGGAAATTCTCCTGTGACCTAGGGAGGGAAGGGGAGAAGGGAGATCGGTCATACGGGCGAGATTGGGGGCGAGGAGTGTACGGGCGGAACCTGGAATCCCCCCTGCGAAAGATGACTGGGAGGAATTTCTTTTTGTCCTTTGTCTCAGAGAGGAAAGGATCCAGAGAGTCCCCGAACAGTTTGGGGCCAGCGAAAGGAACAGATGCCAGGCGCCATTTATGTCTGGCATCGGCCTGCCAGTGACGTAACCAAACTAAATGGCGTGCCGTAACTGAAGACGCTAGATATTTGGCCGCAAATCGAGCGGCGTTCAGGGTAGCGTCTGCCGAGAACTGTGTGGCAGCGATAATTTTGTTTAAATCCTGTTGTATTCAACTGTCCTCCGTAGTCAACGACTCTTGCAAACGTTGAAGCCATAACAGCGTTGTTCGATTAAAAAAGGAGGCAGTAGCAGCTGCTCGGATGGCCCATGAAGCACCCTGATGAGCTCGTTGACGTACGTGTTCAGCTCGGCGCTCCTCCGGGCGAAGGCCCTCCTCAGGATCACCAGGAACCACTGAGTGAGGTAAGAGGGCCACCACGGGAGCGTCTACCGACGGGACCTGAAGGAGAGAATCTAGGTCCGGAGCAATACTGAAGTTTCGTCGATCCGCTGCCGTAGGCGTCGGGGCCGAACCCGGTGAAGACCATTGTTTCTTGATGACATCGAGAAATAAAGGAGGAGTAGAAATGGTATCAACAGTCCTAGCTGGTTCAGCAAAGAGAGGGTTTAAGGTACCCTTGGGTACAGAATCAGAAACTGGCAATGGCGAAGGGGAGCTAAGCTGGGCTGTAGCAATGGCTTTATGTAGTAGGGATTTGAACAAGGCCTGGGGAAAAAGACCCGTGAAGGCCGGCTGTTCAGGAGGCAGATCATCATCCTCTGAGAGTTCCAGGTCATGGGGTTCCTCAGCCGCATGTGAAGGGGATCTGCTGGCCATAGAAGACACCGGTGAGTCAGGAGCATCAATGGACAAAACATCTTCCTGATCCCTATCCTCTCGAGGAGGAGAAACAACTGAACGCACTGAGGCCGCTCTACTAGTGGACTGAAAGTGCGATGCCAACGACTGTTGAACCGCTGCAGCAATCATCTGCTGTATCTGTTCTGTGGACGGGAAAGAATGATGTTGTATCCCAGCAGGAACAGCTTCCTCAGCTGTTTGAGCTGGGGATGATTCTGGAGGAGGAACAGAAGCCGTAGGCGCAGACGAGCCCCATAGATCAGTAGTTTCAATGACCGCAGGGCAGTCCTGAAGAGAAAGGCGATCCCCTTGTGCAGCAGAATCAGATCCCGAAGGAGGGCGAGTCGAGACTGACGGGGTCTCCTTGGCTACTGACTGAGCGCCGCTGGCCTTGGCGCAAATCTTCTTTAGGACCTTGTCCCTACGAGCTTCCGCACGGGAAGGCAGAAATCGGGAAGGTGCCTTGTTGAGTGGCTGAGAAGGGCCAGAAGGGTCTGGTCTGGAAGAAGATCCAGAGGGGACCTCATTAGAAGCAGGAGAAACTCCATGATGACGGTGAGAATCAGAACTGCTCGCCTTGTGACAATGTTTAGACTTATGGGAGGCCTTAGGCATGATGACAGTGAGGAGGACTGTCAGATAGTTGTTAAAGATTAGACACAAGGAGCACAGGCCAAAGGAAGGTGACAGCAATCAGTAATGGTTTAGCCCCAAATACAACACCTGGGAGCGTAGAAAAAAACTCCACGAGTACTAGGCAGAGAAAAAACCTGGGCGAAGCAGAGATGAACTATTAATGGTTCACAAGGCTGAGGACCGGGGGGGGGCGCGAGACCCCACTCAAAGGCGTTATCTTAGCCCAGGCACACACAGTCCACCAACAAAACGTGAGGGGGGGGGGCGCAAAGCTCCACCAGCTACTAATCCACAATTAAGGCCAGGTAAGTCAGCAAACAGCAGCCAGTGCCCTATGACAGCAGGGGGTGACGTACAGCTCCGCCAGGCCTCGAAAACAATAATCGCGCCAAAAATATCCTCAGCCGCTCAAGCGGCGCCGAGGGGAAATGCGCCTAAAGCCGATGGCTCCACCAGCTGATTTGCGCCGTTGAAAGAAAGCCTGGGGGCAGGTTCAGCCAGTAAGAGCGACAGTGGTCAAAGGGAAAGGCTTCAAGCCTCCCTCAATGCCTTCGGGAGCGTTAAAAACTCCACAGGCAGCTAAAAGGCTGTCAATTAGGTGAAAAGGGCTGAGCAGTTTAAAATCCAAAATGGCGACCGGGAGGTTTGAAAAGGGGGCGCGAAGCTCCACAGGCGCTAGAATTACCCCCCAAGATCCAAAACGGCCACTAAGGGCGACAGTGGTCAAAGGGAAGGGCTTCAAGCCTCCCTCGATGCCTTCGGGAGCGTTAAACTCCACAGGGAAGCTAAAACGCTGACAATTAGGCAAAAAGAAAAAAAGCGGAGCAGTTTAAAATCCAAAATGGCCGCCGGGAGGTTTGAAAAAGGGGGCGCGAAGCTCCACAGATGCTAGAATTGCCCCCAAGACCCGAAACGGCCAGTTATGGTGATAAAGGGAGTGCGATCACTCCACAATGCTCCCAGGTATTCCCCAAATCAAGGGAAGGGGCGCAGAGGAACTCCCCCCCCCCCAAGTAGCCAGCAAAGCCAGTCACTGGGGAATTTCCTTACTGCCAAGTTGAAATCGAAATCCAGAGAAGATCCAATAACAGTCCAAGTCAAACCAGAAAAGTAGTTAAGCAAAGCTGAGAAAGCAGCCAGGAAAAGAGAAATTGATCAAGAGGATCAGTCCCACACGCCTGTCTAGGCTGACAGACTGAGCCAAAAGCTGGGTTTACCCGGTAACAAGGGCGGGACTTAGCAAATTTGATGGGCTCAGTCTATCGGCCTAACAGATGACCAAACCCATCCTGGCTGCTGTCTCCACCCACAATGGAGAATATAGAGCAGTAATCCAATTGGGAAGTGACTAAAGCATGAGTGACAATAAGCAGAGTTTCCCAATTCAACAATGGGCTGATGCACAAGATACAGTTGAAATAAGTCATCCTAGCCATAGCTGTCACAATGCTCTTCAGGACTCCCAGGGTGCCCATCAACTCTGTAAGGGGAAGTGTGTAGACAATTAGAGAGATGACCTCAAATTTCCTGCTCATACCTATCACTCTGCCTGGGGTATTCTGTACATGTGGGATAGAGGAGGTTAAGGCTAAAGAGGGAGGGGTGGTATAGAAAGTCAGGGAGATGATTCTGAGGGAAGTTAACAAGACCATTAAATAATCAATGCAGATTAAAACATTCCTTAAGACTTAAGAAACAAAATAGTATTTGGAAGAGGTTTCCTGATGCATTGGGATAGAATATTGTAATGGGGCTGTAAGAGTAACCTTGAGGAACCAGAGGAAGAGCCATAACCAAGACAATGGTCAGACAAAAGAAATGTGTGTCTGAGAAAGAAATGTAATCTAAGAAGGCATTTTAGGCCTGACTCTCTCCAGTTCTCTTATAGATAGAGGTAGGTAATGGGGAGGCCCATTTAGTCTTGCAAGATTCTTCGGGACCCTGTGGCTCCCGATGACGTGGATAGGATTCTGGGTAGGCTTAGTGCTGCCACATGTTTATTGGACCCGTGTCCCTCCTGGTTGGTACTGGCCTCCCGGGAGGTTACACGAGGCTGGCTCCAGGGGATTATAAATGCTTCCTTGAGTGAGGGTGCCTTTCCCGCCGCCTTGAAAGAGGCGGTGGTGAGGCCCCTCCTCAAGAAGCCATCCCTGGACCCGGCTGTATTAGTAAATTATCATCCGGTCTCCAACCTTCGTTTTGTGGCGAAGGTTGTCGAGAGTGTAGTGGCACGACAGCTACCCCTGTACCAGGAGGAAGCTGTCTATCTGGACCCATACCAGTCGGACTTCAGGCAGGGGTACAGCACAGAAATGGCATTGGTCGCGTTGGTTGATGATCTCTGGAGGGCTCCGGACAGGGGTTGCTCCTCTGTCCTGGTCCTATTAGATCTCTCAGTGGCTTTTGATACCATCGACCATGGTATCATGCTGCAGCGGTTGAGGGGATTAGGAATTGGAGGCACCATGTTACGGTGGTTCTCCTCCTACCTCTCTGACCGCTCGCAGCTTATGTTGGCAGGGGGCAGAGGTCGACCTCAAGGCGCCTCACTTGGGGGGTGCTGCAGGGATCGGTCCTCTCGCCCCTTCTGTTCAACATTTATGTGAAGCCGCTGGGTGAGATCATCCATGGCTTTGGGGTGAGAGTCCACCAGTACGCTGATGACACCCAGCTGTACATCTCCACCCCAAACCACCCCAATGATGCCCTTGATGTGATGTCCCACTACCTGGAGGCTGTGCGGGTCTGGATGGGGAGAAATAGGCTCAAGCTCAACCCTTCCAAGACTGAGTGGCTGTGGCTTCCGGTGTCCCAGTATAGTCAGCTGGTGCCATCGTTGGCTATTGGGGGTGAATCTCTGCCCCCCACAGAGAGGGCTCGCAATCTGGGCGTCCTCCTGGACTCACGGCTGTCTTTAGAAGAGTACATGACTACTGTAGCCAGGGGGGCTTTTTGGTAGCTGTACTGGATGCAGGATTTGTCCAATACAGATAAAAGTCTTTTTTGTTTTATTCTAACCACCCTATATAAATTACTGGACATTACTACTACATTTTATCCTAACTATTGCAAGCACAAGCAGTACAACCAAAACAAACTAGTGTCTTAGAGTTTATAAGAGCTGATTTCAACGAACTTAGGAAAGCTTCGGAAGAATTCCCAAGGAGAACACAACTCAAAAAGCATGGGAAATGCTGAAAAGGGGGGTGATAGAAGTCCAGTCGAGCACAATACTACTATAAGAGAAAAATAAGAGATTCCAGAAGAAACAAGCATGGCTGCATATAAACTAAAATACAAAATGGACAAATGGAAGAAGTAAAAAGAGGAGAAGATAAGTAAGGCAGATTAACAGCAAATAGTTAGAACCTACAAAGATGAAGTCAGGAAAGCTAAGGCTCAGAATGAACCAAGGCTTTCAACAAATGTCAAAAATAATTTTAAATACCTTCTTTCAACATGTAATAAACAAAAAAAATCAAGAAAATGATTGGTCATTAAACAGAGAAGATGGCAAAAAGGTGATGAGCAAAGAGAAAGCAGAACTACTTAATTCATTCCTTTTATCTGTAGAAAAGAAAAATCAGTCCAATTAATAAAAACAGCACCATAAAATACATATTAGAAATACAAGCCAAAATAGGCAAGAAAAAGGAAAGACAACACCTATACACTTTCGATAAGTTCAAACCACTAGGACCAGATGAATTATGTCCAAGAGTTCTGAAGGACCTGGCAAACATGATCTTGGAACCACTTAACTGTATCTTTCAAAGATCCTGGAGCACTGCGGAATTACCAGAGAACTGGAAAAGAGTTGACATCAGGGTGGATAAAAATCAATGATTTTTAAAATTTTTTTTTAAAAAAATCAGATTTTTTTTATTTAAATCAGATTTTTTTGATTTTTATCGAATTTATTTTAATAAAAAAACTTTTGGGGTAAAAATCTATCGTAAGATAGTTTTCTATTTAAGATACATAAATAATTTAGTTTATTCAGCATGAAATGGAGCTTAGTTATGTAGCATGAGGCTGTATATTCTGCAACACTGGGACTATTGGTGAGTCAACAGTGGGTCAAAGGAGTAGCAGAGATGACAGTTGCTCTTTAAAAATTATGATTTAAATCAAGTTGATTTAAATCAAATCCACCCTGGTTGACATGGTTCCCATTTTCAAAAAAAAGGGGGGGGCATCAATACTTGGGAAGATCCTGGAAAAAGTAATCAAGCAATGGAACTGTGAACATGTAGAAGCAAGCAAAGCTATTACTAGAAGTCAACAGGGTTTGTTAAAAGCAGATCATTCCAAACAAATCTTATTGCAATCTTTGGCAAAGTGACTAAATTAGGGGACCAGCAAAATGCTGTAGACATAGAATACTGGGACTTCAGTAAAGTA